TGCTATATTATTCACCTTCATGGTGTTGTCAGTTTCTTTTTTCTTCCTGTTGGTGACTTTGTTTTGTGGCTTTTCATTTAAGGGGATGTACAGTAGCTGTGAAATGGAGACTGACATCCAGATGTGAGGATACAATGCAGTATGCATCTCTACTTCCAGACAAAGATGGACTCCCAAAGAAACTGTTTACTGTATCTTGACAATAGGATGCTGGATACTCTGCTATTGTCTATGCCTGCAATGACGGACATATGACTGTTTATGAAAAACCATACTATGGTAATGATATTGGGGAACCCAGTGGAGAGGAGGGGATTGGGGAGGAGATAAGGGAAATTCCAGGGCCTGTATTGTAAAATGTATCCAAGTCTGAAATTTGCTATAATAGAAAGCTAAAAATGCAAAATAAAATAAAAAGGCCGTCTTCAGAAGGTGCATTTAGCTTACTGGTTAAGATGTACTAGCCCCACATCTGAGTGCCTGTATTTGCTTCTCAGCTCCAGCTCCTGACTCCAGAGTCCTGATCATGCAGCCCCTGGGAAGCAGTGGGAATGACCAAAATGATCAGCCTTGCCATTCTACATGAGACAAAACTGAGTTTCTGGGTCCCAGCTTTAGCCAGGCCATTTGTAGCGCTTTTTTCTCTTTTTTTAATTTTTTTTTTTATTTGAAAGGAAGAGTTACAAAGAGGAGAGCCAGAGAGGTCTTCTTTCCACTGACTTCCTCCCCAAAAGGCTGCAATGGTCAGAGTTGAGCCAACCCAAAGCCAGGAGCTTCTTTTGTATCTCCCACATGGGTGCAGAGGCCCAAGGACTAACCTTCCTCCACTGCTTTCCCAAGAAGCTGGATTGAAAGTGGCACAGTTAGGACAGTAACCAATGCACATATGGGATGCCAGCACTGCAGGAGGCTTAACTACTATATCACAGTGCCAGCCCCATTTGCAGGTCTTTATGAAACAAACAGCAGATGGGCTTATACTTTCCTTCAAAAAAGTAATATTAAAAAAATAATCATTTCAGGGCCTGGCATGGTAGCCTAGCAGCTAGAGTCCTCACCTTGCATGCCCTGGGATCCCATGTGGGCGCTGATTCTAATCCTGGCAGCCTTGCTTCCCATCCAGCTCCCTGCTTGTGGCCTAGGAAAGCAGTCCAGAATGGCCCAAAGCCTTGGGAGCCTGCACTCACATAGAAGACCCAGAAGAAGCTCCTGACTCCTGGCTTCGGATTGGCTCAGCTCAGGCCAAAGGATGGGCCAAAGCTTTGGGACCCTGTGCTGCTGTAGGAGACCTGGAGGCTCCTGGCTTTAGATCGGCTCAGCTCCGGCTGCTGTAGTCACTTGGAGAGTGAGCTGGCATGTGAAAGCTGTTTCTCTCTGTCTTTCCTTCTCTCTATAAATCCGCCCTTCTGATAAAAATAAAGAATCAGAGAGAGAGAGAGAGAGAGAGAGAGAGAGAGGAAGAATAGGAGGGATGGATGGAGGGAGGGAGAGAGAGAGGCAGGGAGGGAAGGAAGGAGGGAAGGAAGGAAGGAGGGAGGGAAGGAGGGAGGAGAGAAAGAAATTGTTTAGATTGCACCTGCTGTCATGTTCTAGCATAGCTAGAGCCTCGGAATAGCCAATTTCCATCTACACAGCAGGCAAAGCTATGTGCAGTAAGGAGGGTGAAATGAAGAGAGGTTTGGAAAACAATACAGTAAGCACAGATTATGATTTTATTATATAAAAATAGTCACGAGTATAACTATTGCATAAGGATGCACCATTGAGCAGCGAAACTACAAAGAAAACAAATCCATCTTGAAGGTCATGACAGCAGCTAGGATTGGGAAGGACTGCCAGTTCTTTCCTGTGTGTAGATGGTTACGGGGGGTAACCTGCACCAGATCATGTGTCTTAATCAGCTTTTGCCATATAGCTTGTATTTTAATTGGTATGAGAAGGGTTATTTCATTTTCTGATCTTACACACAAACATGTGTATTTTTTTTTTACTTTTATTACAAAGTCAGATATACAGAGAGGAGGAGAGATAGAGAGGAAGATCTTCCGTCCAAAGATTCACTCTCCAAGTGACTCCAACAGTCAGTACTGCACTGATCCAAAGCTGGAAACCAGGAACCTTTTCCAGGTCTCCCACGCGGGTGCAGGGTCCCAAAGCTTTGGGCCGTCCTCGACTGCTTTCCCAGGTCACTAGGAGGGAGCTGGATGGGAAGTGGAGTTGCTGGGATTAGAACCGGAGCCCATATGGGATCCCGGGCATGTTCAAGGCAAGGACTTCAGCCGCTAGACCATGCCGCCGGGCCCCAAACATGTGTATGTTTTATGACAGCACTTTTTAATAGACGTAATCAGCATTTCTGCCGGACTTGTTTCTTCTATTACACATTTCTTCATTGCCTGTGCTCAGTAATATTCTTATACTGCCTGTATCTTCATAGATAGGATAAACAAAAATTGGAACATTTCCCTAGGAAATGGCCCATGTGACTCTACAGGCAGTTAATCTCAAGGTCTCTGTCCCAACGCTCTGCTGTTGCTCCTTGGTTCACACTGCAGATCCTGGCTCCAGTGCTAGGACCCTCCCGCACCGGACAGCTGGCTGGAGCACCAGGCTCTGGGCTTCAGACCTGGGCAAGCTGCAGCTGAACCAGCAGCAGATGCAAAGGTTTCTCAAGTCTCCGTTTCTCTCTCTCTCTCTGTCACTCTGATTTTCAGATGAATAAATAAAATCACGCACATGCATATATATGTAGAAGACTTCCAAAGAATGACATAACCGGCTCATAAGAAACATAAAAGGAAAGAGTCACACAAGTAATAAAATTACATATAAAAACATTTCCCATGACTGCCCCTAATTTAAAATGCTGGATTATATTTTAAAACAAAATAGTTCTGTGTTCTACTAAATAAACATTTTTTAAAGCCCCACGCTAGGCACCAATTAGCACAAATATTATGGAAATCTTCCAGGAAGTGAAGTAGGCGATATGCTCAAATATCCTTGAATTCTGGCAATTCAATTTCAAGAAGCTTAAGAAAATAATAATATTGCAGTTAGAGTACCAACACAGAATATTCACCTTGATACAGCTGGCAATAGGGCTTACATATATTAAGATAAATAGTCTTAGTTTTAATTAGTCTTAGTTTTTAAAAATTAGCGAACTACAATGAAACGTAGTAAGACCATTAAAAACACTACTGAGAAAGAATATTTAGGTAGCAAATTCAAATGATCCATGCGTATCCTTTTAAAAAAATTTTTATGTACTTTTTTGAAAGGCAGAAAGTCAGAGATCTCCCTCCTGCTGGCTCATCTCAAATGCCCAAAAGGGCCTTGGCAGAAACTCAACCTCGGTCTCCCAGACAGATGGCAGGGCCCCACTGAGCCGTTTCTACTGCCTCCCAGGAAATGTGTTAGCAGGACGGTGGGGTTAGGAGTTGGAGCCTGCTCCCTGCCCAAGCTATCTTACCGGAGGTCGAACTTTGAACTGCTAAATGCTGGTCTCAATGGCATATTCCACTGGGGGGAAAATCCAAAATAGGTTACAAGCGCCATCTGCAATATTCCAATAAAACAAGAGCAGAAGTGAAGGAAAGGCTGAGAGAGACTCAGAGAGCTGTTACAAGGAGTTCATTAAGGTGTTGTGTGGCAGCGAAGCCATAGGCATTCCGGATAGGATTCAGTTTGAGTCCCAGCTGCTCCACTTCCAGCCCTGCTCCCTGAAAATGTGCCTGGGAAAGCCTTGGAAGATTACCCGAGCGCTTGGGTCCCTGTACCCACCTGGGAGACCTGGATAAGTCTGGGCATCCTGGCTCTAACCGGGCCCAGCCCTAGCAACTGTGAAAACTGCTGTTTTCACATTTGGGCAGTGAAACAGCATATGGAAGATAGGTGGATAGATCGATGCATCTATCCCTTCATTCATATAAACGAATCTTTACTTTGAAAAAGTTAGCTGTTTGTTTCTGCAAACGGACACCAAGGGCCTTTTCTCTAGCCTTTTCAGTGTTTATCCATCTTCTAAGAGGCACATTTTATAACTGAAAGGATCTACTTAAGTGAAAACTGATGTGCTGCCTTCTGGGCACCTAGAACGACCCACTCCCTCTCGCGTCCCCCTCCCTGCAGGCTGCCCAGTTGCTGGAAGTCCACTGGAGTGCTGGAGCTGGGATGCAGCACTGGGGAGCAGCGAGCAACTGCGGAGAACTACATTTCCCCGAATGCTCCGGCTCCCACGGACTACATTTCCCAGCGGCCCCAGCAGCCTCTCCCGGTCCCTTCAGGACCCACCGGCTGCCCAGCGGCTCTTGGGCCTGAGGTGGCCGGGGCGGGGAGCTGTCTAGCGGCCGACACCTCGCCGCGGGCCGGTTCTGGGGCCTCGGGCTAGCGGATCGCGGCCGGGAGGAACCTAGCGCGCGGGGAGGTGAGCGGCGAGGCGGGCCAGGGCCTCGGAGAACCGGGCCGCGGGATGTCTGCGAGCGGAGGGGGCCCGGGGCCTGTCCCCCGCGGCCATCGGCCGTCCCGCTGCGCCCCGGGGAGCACCGGGGCTCCCTTCCTCCTGCAGGTCCGGCCGCTGGTCGGGGGCGATGGCAGGGTGAGGCGCCCTGGGTACCCGACTGCCGGACCCTGGCCCTCGGTTCTGGACCCATAGCAAAGCCCCTGTTTCCCTCTCCCAGATGCTCTGTTCGTGGGAGAGGAACTGGAGGCGCTCGCTCGGGAGGCGGCTGTCACGGGTAGCCGGGAGCTGAGCTGCTTGCAGGCGCTCCCGACGAGTGACATGGAGCGGTGGACCCGCGCTGGGCACTGGCATGGAGCTGCCAGCAGTGCCAGCCGCACCGTGGGGGCTGCCGCGGATGGGGTTGATCCGGCCACTCTCTGGTCCCCTGCACTCCTGCCTCTCCGTGGTCATCCCCCCCCTGCGCCGCTTCTGAAAATGGAGAGCAAAGCGGGCTTCCTCCCCGCGTCCCTTTTTCTTCTTTCAGCTCCTCCTTGGAGGCTGCACCTGTTCCCCCGGCAAGAGCCCAGAAGAAGATGACTGGCAAGCAGAGGAAGACGAGGCCGGAGGTGAGGAGGCCTGGGGTCCCTGGGCCAGTGCTTGGGGAGGGCGCTGTATTATTGACTTGGGAGAGCACACACTGGCACGCCAGCGGAAGGCCCTCCCAGCTCCCGCCTGCCTGTCCGTCCAGAAAAGGTTTCTTTCCACCTCAGGGTCCTCAGCCCTCTGCAGCCCCTGGGTTTTGTGTCATCTCCCGGCCGACTGACTTCCTGGGCCGTATGGCCTGGCTGTGCCATGGTCTTAAAAACTTTGACCTGCCGTGTCATCCTCATGTTGCGGGTAGTGACGGGGTCGTCCCTTCCAGGTGCAACTGGGCGACGAAAAAGATGGCCACATCGCAGCGATGGGTTGCAGAGGTCTCCTGACTGAAGGTCTACCCCGGTTAGGAAGTGCAGCCGGATGGCTGGCGATCAACCCGTCTGTCTCCCCCTGTTAGCATTTGTGGGCCTTGAACAAACAGGTCCACCTCTCTGTGCTCTGCTTCTTTCTCTGGAAAATGGGACCGACAGCCACGCCTGCCCCTGCGAGGGGACCTCGGGTGGTTAGTGCTGCTCCGCCAGTGGCTGCTGTGGCAGCCAAGTGGTGTTGCTGGGCTAGTGTCCATGTTGATAGAAACCGACACAGTGTTTCTAGCAGGGAGGACCCGCTGCTTTGTTTTGACCGTTCTCATCTCACAGTAGCAGTTGCTGCTTACTGTCCACTGTGATGGAGGAGCGGGCTTCCTGAGGAATTTCTCTTTGTTCATTCTCATCCTCACAGTGGTAGAGCAATTATTATTCCTGTGTTTTATGCACGCGATGACACAGAGGTACTAAGGAAGTAAGGTGAGTCTCAGGTGAGCCGGGCCCTCTGACCATGCCGGGCCACCCAGCCAGTCCTCTGCCACAGCCTTCAGACCAGAAGATCCCCATCCAGTCAGATGTTCCCGAAACTTTTAGACCCAAGAATGTGGTGAAGTTTGATCTTCTGAAGCCGCAGCCAGGACCTGTTCCTCCCGCTCTCCTGTGAGCTGGCCGGAAGCCCTCAAGGCATGCTGCCTAACTGCTTGCTGCAGCACCGAGTGGATTTGGGTGTCAAACCCAGGGACAGGAAGTTTAAAACGAGAGAGAAACAGGGCTCCCAGGTGGAAGATGGGAGGACGGTCCTGCCACTTCCCTAAAGCATGTGGCTGGACCGTGGTGGGCTGTCCTGGGTTTCCGGTTCCTGTCCCTCAAACTGAACTGTGAGATAGCATGTTGACCTTTCAGCTAAAAAGCTTGCATTGTTCAAATTAGTAATGCTTCTGCCTTGTCTGCCAGCCAGATTATAAAAAAAATTTAGGGGAAAGATCATTTTTTATATTTTTCCCCCATGACAATTTATTGGATTTTTTTTTACATATGTGTATTACATGTTCCTAATAAAATACACATATGGAGAAAAAATATTAAGGCCTATGAAGAGAGAAGATGAATTTGGTCCCTTGCTCTACACTCCGCACCTTGGGACAGCAGGTATGTGGGTTTGCCCTCGCCCACCAAGCAAGCAGCGCTGCCAGAGCAGTGACGCAAGCAGGGCATCATGTCAGGTCAACTCAGTTTTAACTCTGATGGCATCAGCCCTCACAGGTTGAAGGGCTCAGTCCCCGAGACTTTCCACACTTCAGATGCTTCCGGTGTCCCCCTGAGCCCCTGCTTGGTTTTGTCCCACAGAATGCGAGGAAGTGCTTGGATTTGCCGACTTGTCATAAAAGATGACCGCGCAGTACATAGAGTGCAGCACAGCGCCAGAGACTCGTGTGCTGTGGGCGCAGGCCATCTGCCTCCGCTCAGCTCTCAGGACACTACCGGAACTGGGGATCTGAGTTCTTCCGGAGGCTTCCTTCCTCTGGCAGGATTGATGATGAGACAGGAGCCAGCTCCACCCTCAGCCCCTGTCCCCCGCCATCACAGGGGTCACTAGCTTACAGGAAGACCCGTCACTTTGCAGATCCCCGGGGGATGAGGTGATAACCAAATACTGCTTCACAACGCTTAGAAAAAACAAAGTGAAAGCGCTTAGAGTTCAACATCTGGAGATGATTGTCAGCACCCCTCAGAATGATCTCCGCGTTTATTTACACCTTACCATTTTAACCTTTTTATCTTGGAAAAACATGTGATGTACCATTTGAACCCTTTGGAGTGCATAATTCAGTAGTATTATAAGTACGTTGTTAGGTGTCGCCACCATTCATCTCTGTTTATTATTATCTCTGTTTGTTATTATTTACACATCTGTGTACATTATCTCTGATTTCTTCACCTTCTGAGGTAAGCATTGAAAGGCTACTCTACAGAGTTGGGGCTCGGTACTGTGTCGCAGCAGCTAAAAGCTGCTGTCTGTGATGCTGCCATCCCACACGGGTGCCAGTTTGTGCCCTGGCTGCTCTACTTCTAATCCGGCTCCCTGCTAGTAGCCTGGAAAAGCAGTAGAGGATGGTCCCTCCCGCTCACGTAGGAGCCTCGATGAAACTCCTTGCCCCCGTGCCTGCTGTTTTGGCCATGTGGGGAGTAAACCAGTGTGTGGATGGAAGATCTCTGCCTTTCCCTTTCTCTCATTATCTTTGGTTTTTCAAATAAAGAAAGCCTTTTAAAAGGTGAGAGTGAGGGCAGCGTGGTGGTATAGACTAAGCTACTGCAGGTGCCGCGTGCCCATTTGAGTCCTGGCTGCCCCACTTGTGATCCAGCCCCCTGTCACTGTGCCTGAGAATGCGGTGGCATGTGACCCAAGTTTGGGGCCTCCACCCCCTTTAGGAGACACAAATGAAGTCCCTGGCTCTTGATTTCAGCCCTGCCTAGCCCTTGCTGTGGTGGCCATTTAGGGAGTGACCTAGCAGATGGAAGAGCCCCAACTCTTTCTTTCTCCCTATAACTCTAATTTTCCACATAAATAAATAAATCTTCTTTAAAAAGTAATCTACCCTGATAAAATAATGCCAGATTGAATTTCTCAGTGTAGTTGCAGTTATTCGAAGTTATTATTAGTTCTAAACCTCCAAAAGATATAAGGCTTTATTCTAAATGTCTGGGTTGCCCTGTGGAGGCTATTTAAAGAGAGATATAAAAGAATTAAACCCACTGACAGTCCTTTTTTTTTTTTAAGATTTATTTATTTTTATTTGAAAGACAGATTTACTGAGACAGGGAGAGACTGAGAGAAGCTTCCCATATGCTGGTTCCATCCCCAAATGGCCTCAATGGCTGGAGCTCAGCTGATCCAAAGCCAGGAGCCACTTCCAGGTCTCTCATGTGGGTGCAGGGTCCCAAAGATTTGAGCCGTCCTTTGCTGTTTCCATGGGCCATAAGCAGAGAGGTGGATAGGAAGTGGAGCACCTGGCACTGGAACCAGCCCCCTAATGGAATACCAGCACTGCAAAGCAGGTGATTGGCCTGTTGAGTCACTACACTGGCCGCAGCTGACTCCGAGAGATTTGCCATTCACCTGACAAAAGACAGCTTATCATCTGGAGATCTTTGCTACCAAAAAAACTAGTATTGGGGAGGAAAATTAAAATATATCTTGTGGATCACCCCACAACTTATCCATCCTGGTGTGCCTTATTTCTTTTGTTAGCAGGCCCTCTGTGGGGGGGCAGCACAGGGGCTCAACTGACTAATCCTTCTGCTGCAAGTGCTGGCATCCCAGAGGGCGCTTGGCTCCGGACGTTGGATCAGCTCAGCTCCAGCCATTGTGGCGATTGGTGACCACTTGGGGAGGGAACCAGCACATGGAAGTGTATGCTCTGCGTTTCTCCTTCCCTTTCCAATGAAAATGAATAAATCTTTTCAAAAATGTTTTTAAAAAGCCATCAGTATGTAGACATCAATAAGATGACACTATTTATTTAACAGAAAATATGAGGACTAGGTATGTTGGATTTATAGAATTAAAGTAAAAAGTGGCTTATAGGGGGCCCGGCACGATGGCACAGTGGTTAAGGTCCTCGCCTTGCACACCCCGGGATCCCATATGGGCGCCGGTTCTAATCCCGGCAGCCCCGCTTCCCATCCAGCTCCCTGCCTGTGGCCCGGGCAAGCAGTCGAGGACGGCCCGAAGCCTTGGGACCCTGCACCTGTGTGGGAGACCCGGAAGAGTCTCCTGGCTTCGGATTGGCATAGCACCGGCCTTTGCACTCAACTTGGGGAGTGAATCATTAGATGGAAGATCTTCCTCTGTCTGTCCTCTCTGTATATCTGCCTTTCCAATAAAAATAAAATAAATCTTTTTTTTTTTTAAATGGCTTATAAAGAAAAAAAAAGGAAGCTAAGACAGTATTGCAGCCCCACTGACCACCTCTGCGGCTTGAATAATATCCTCCCCTCTATGACTTCATGTTTTCTTTAATAAAATCAGAACAATAATAGCTCCTTCTTTGTAATATCATTATGAAGATTAAAGATTAAATGCTAACTATTAGCATAAGGCTAATCCTGGCTCCTAGAAAGCATCTAATAGTTAATAAGTCACAGCTCTTTTACGTTTCCTAGCCACTGTTCTCACACTTCAGTAGATGCACAGGTAGTCCCAATGAGTTAGTTAACCTAGCCACCAACAATAAACATTTAAGTGGGGTTCATTTTTTGTTACTGCTGACACCATAAATGACCTCTTGTGTTGCTGTTGCTGTGGTTTGAACCCAATCTACCCAACTCATGCTAGAGTTTAAATCCCAAACTCATTTGTTGTGATAAAGATGGGACCCGTAGGAAGTTACTGCATTGAGTTGCTAGGGTACAGCCCCATGTTTGAAACTACCTAGCGACAAAGAGATGCAACTACAGGGATGAACTTGCTCTCTGTCTCTCTGCTGCCTGACTCACCACGTGACCCTCCACATGCCTCCCACATCCATCACCCTCATCAGAGGCCAAGCCAGTGAGACCCCACAACCAATTTTGGACTTAAACCATAGGCTTAAGTGAATCTTGGTTTCTGTAAGTGACTCCGTTCAGACATTTGTTACAGGGATGAAAAGCTAAGGCGTGCACACAGGCAGATTGTACATGACACTGTTAATACAGTGATTGGTAAGTCAAAGAATATATTCAGTATGTTTATTAAACACACTCAGAAAGAATATGCTAATTAATACCCTACCAGTTACCCTCAGTGCCTCTATATATTCCTCATAGTGGCTGTTCACACTTGATGTTGTATATATATTTATCACCAGTTATGTTCCTTTACATGCCTGCCACATTAGAACCTTGCACAGCGTCAGAAGCAGTTTTGTGGGTGACCTGGCTCCCTTCCCATTGCCACCAGCTTCTGCATGTGTGCAGTGTGGTCCAGGGTGAGCTGAGTGACTTGTCCTTCCAGGTGGCAGTGACGTTTGAGGATGTGGCTGTGCTCTTCACTCGGGACGAGTGGAGGAAACTGGACCCTTCGCAGAGAAGCTTGTACCGGGATGTGATGCTAGAGAATTACAGCCATGTGCTCTCTCTGGGTAAGGAACCTTCCCTGTGGTCAAATAATTGAAAATTGGGATCTCAACAGCTCCTTCGCTGAATAAAAGCTTTGGGTCTTCAGAAAGCTTTTGCTGAGGTGGGCATCCCGGGGGCTTTCAGCTTGCCATAGGAGAATGCCTGGGTTGGAACCCCTCCTATGTTTCCAGTCCAGCTTCCTGCTGACGCAGCTGGGAGGCGGTAGGTGACAGCTGGGCTGTTTGGGGTCCTTGCCGCCAGTATGGGGACCAGACTGAGTACCAAGCTCATGGCTTCTGTTCTCTCAGTGTCTACCTTTCAAATAAATGCATTTGAGATCATTATTTAGCAAAAACTAGCCAAAGTTTGCCCCATCCGGATTATACACATCCAGCCTGCGTAAGCAGATACTAAAAACATCGTGTGCCTCCTTGGCATCTGATTGCTCAAGCCATCTTCTTCCTGTCCTATGATGGCGTGCCTCACTTTGCAACATTCGCCTGTGGATTCTGTGTTTGTTTTGTAACAGAGGGCTTTGTCCAACCTCTAGATGTAACACTTCGCTTTCCTATCTGTCTTTTCCAAGAGTCAAAACCCTTTCTACAAGGGCCAGGTAGTAAACATTTTAGGTTCTTCAAGCCACATATGATGTCTGTGACATTTCTCTCACTTTTCCCTAACCATTCTTTGCACGAGGGCTGTACATACACAGGCTCTGGATTTAGCCCACAGTCCACGCTTTGGCAACCACTGCCGTCTTTTCTTTCTTTTTTTTTTTTTTAAGATTTATTTTTTTTTATGGCAATGTCAGATATATAGAGAGAGGAGGAGAGACAGAGAGGAAGATCTTCCGTCCAATGATTCAACCCCAAGTGACTGCAACGGCCGGTGCTGCGCTGATCCAAAGCCAGGAGCCAGGAACTTGCTCCAGGTCTCCCACATGGGAGCAGGGTCCCAAGGCTTTGGGCTATCCTCAACTGCTTTCCCAGGCCACAAGCAGGGAGCTGGATGGGAAGTGGGGTATCCGGGATTAGAACCAGTGCCCATATGGATCTTGGTGTGTTCAAGGCAAGAACTTTAGCTTTTAGGCCACTGTATCGTCATCTTTAAAAGAGAGTCAGACAGTGTTTTCTCATTTCAGACAAGTTTCTTAAGACATAATCGTTCCATATGGCTGCAAATTTTACCTCGGTCTACTCGCTAACATTCCATCTTCAATAGAAACTTAGAAATACACCATCAATTACTGAAGCTTCATGTTTCTCATATTTTCCTCACTAAATTGTACCAAAGTGACCTACATCTCCATACATTCCAAGGTCACAGTTTAAGTCCTCACAGTCCTTTTACCACCCTGTGATTTTTTTTTTTTTTCACTAAACTGTGGAATCGCTGTTTGTGTCAAAACAAAAGCAACTCTGTATGTGTGTGCGTGTTTTGTTTGTCCAGGAGCAGGATTCCCATGTTCCATGCCAAAGGTCATCTCTCTGTTGCAGCAAGGAGAAGATCCCTGGAAGGTAGCCAAAGAAGGTCCCGCAGGCTCCTGTGCGGGTGAGTAGAGGGACAGGGTGCCTGAGGAATCCCTGCTGGCGATGGTGTGCTGGCAGGAGCAGGCGCAGCTTGGAGTGTTGGTTGGGAAACTGCCATGAGGGTTCTCAGTCCCCACAGAAGGGAATGCCCTGGTTCCTTCTTCCTCTGTGCTAATCCCCTCAGATGAACCTCTCCACATCCCCTTTCTTGTTGTGTTGTTTCAGAGGAGGGCTGCATGTGTGCCTTCAGTAGACACAGTGTGCTGAAGGAATTGCACATTGTTAATTCACCCACATAATTAATTTGGTCTGGCTGAAATCAGGGGAGATGAGGACAGAAATGAGATTGAAAAGCTGGACAGTGCCACCTTGCAAGTCCTTGGTACAGCTCTAAGAGATTTCAACTGTCAGTGTATGACTGGAAATAACTGAAGAAATAAGCAGAGAATTGTGGAATTCTTGATAGCTTAGAAAAATCGGTCTACATCAAGCCATTTAAATGTCCTTCAATATACTTTTTAAAATATGGTCACTTCAGATATTTCCCACAACAAGGAGAAAACATGTACAAACTTGTATGTCAGCCCTTGGTGTGCATGTGTTACTTATTGCTTTATTCGGACTTGAGGGAGACCTTGTGTTTGCTGGTTCTCTCCCCGAATGCCTGTAAAGGTTAGGCATCGACCAGGAGGAAGCCAGGAGTTTCCTGCCTCTGTAGCAAGGACATGGCCAGCTGAGTCATCCCGTGCTGTCCTGCATCAAGACATCAGGAACTGGAGCTGGGCCTTGAACTCGGGCATCCAGCATCTTAACTACTAGGCCAAATGCCTTCTTAGGTTTGTAGGTTTTGAATTGAGAGAAAGGAGGAAATGATAGAATGTGGGTCTGTTGCTTAAGAAATAAACTCCAAGTACAATCACTAAGCTTATGCTTTTGTGGCACAGCTGTCCTAGGATAATGGAGTTAAGCCATCTTGTACTTCTCGTGTAGTTGGCTTACATGAAATGTTCTAGAAAGCGATTCTTTTTCAATTCTAAGACTGATTTCAGAAGTCAAATGAAAAGTAGCTTTTCCTTGTCCTTTTCCCTTGTTTTGTTTTTTTTGATGCATGAAGCCAAGTGGAGTGGTCAGGTGGTCAGCTGTGGGGCCACCTGGGGACTACTGTCTGCTCGGCGAGGTGTGCGGGGCCTGCAGATACTCACAGAGGGGGCATCCTTTCCTGTTTTCCAGGCTTAGCTGAAGCCCCACTGGACTCATTTACAGTAGCTTTTAAGGGACTGTTCTTAGGTGGTTAAACTGGAGCCACAACACTCATCCCTGTTATAAAGATTTATTTTTATTATTATTTTTTCATTGGAAAGGCGGATATACAGAGAGGAGAGACAGAGAGGAAGATCTTCCATCCGATGATTCACTCCCCAAGTGAGCGCAACGGTCGATACTATGCCGATCCGAAGCCTGGAGCCTCTTCCGGGTCTCCCACGCGGGTGCAGGTTCCCAAAGCTTTGGGCCGTCCTCGACTGCCTTCCCAGGCCACAAGCAGGGAGCTGGAAGGGAAGCGGGGCTGCTGGGATTAGAACCGGCGCCCATATGGGATCCCGGGCGTGCAAGGCGAGGACCTTTAACCACTTGCGCCACCGCGCCGGGCCCCTCAGCCCTGTTTTATTTGAGTGAATTGGTCTTGTTCCTGATCCTCTGTCCTTCCCAACAAGAACTCAGATGCTGCCTAGTGCCTCCCCTCCTACCATCACTATTTCTTTTCCTTCCAGAATGATCTATTTAAAGGGTATATCTGGTTGTGTTCAAAACCTCTAGAGGCCTCCATTTCATAGAGTGCAATCCTAAGTCCCCTGGTGTCCTTCCGAGACCTGCATGGTCTGGCTCTGCCACCTCTTCCTGCGTCTCTTCCCCAGGTGCCTGCCCGTTGAAGACCCTGGTCACCCTGACTGTCCCATGTGCACTAAGGAAGCCTCCACCTCAGGGCTTCCCCACCTCTTTTTGTTTGTTTGTTTGTTTTTCCTACTCAGAACCGTTCTCTCAGACAGCCACATCTCTTGTGAAGCACTTCCTTATGTTACACAAGTTTCTTCTCCATAGGCACAGCTCTTGCAAAGCATGGCCCTTGGTCCTCTATATTCATCGCCCTTCAGCATGCTTTACTCCTTTTCTGTGCTTATCACTGTGCAGTAGCACACATCTGTTTAGTATCCATCCAAAATAGGTAATATCCCTTTCACTGTGTTGCCTGTTCAAGTCATCCCCATTTCCATACTCAGTACATACAACTGTACCTGGCCAGAGTAGATTTCAGACCTGAGAAAGAATGTGTGAATGGCATGGACCAGGTTATTGGTGGTGGAGACAGAAAAGAATGAACCAATTCCAGAGATAACGTGGGAGAAAAACAAAAGCAACAGGGCTTGGAGATGGAGTTGGTGTGGAAGGTAAGATTGCAGGGATGCTTGCCTGGTTTGTGGCTTATTCAGGGATAGACAGTGATTCGTTGAGATAGTAACACTGCAAGAAGGGCATTTGGGAGATGGCATAAATTTAGTTCTGATGAGTTCAACTGAGTTGTCTTTGCCTGACTCCATTATCCCAGGGGAGATGTCAGTAGCCTATTGGAGTTTGAAGTATTGTACCTCAAAATATATATGGAACATGAAGTGTAAATGTGTGAAGCTGTGGTCCGTACTGAATCAGTGAGACAGCCACTGAGACTGAAGAGCATCCAGGGAGAGGGTTCCGATTACAGTACAAGGAAGACAGAGCTTAGGACACCAGCACTGTGACCATGTAGAGAAAATGGACCCATTGTACTATAAGGAAAATTGCAGGATCTGGTGCCACTTGAATGTAAGGCTCCTGCTAGAAGTGTAGGGGTGGAGAGAAGCAGCTTAAATTTGAGATAACAAACAGATCTTAAATTGATTAGATGAAGGAGTGGAGAAAAGAAGTATAGGGAATGCCTACTGAGGTTCTGATTAACAGTTGGTGCCATTTATACAGACAATATCATGAATTTGGTTCTAGGCCTATTAACTGTGAGTTGGTAGTCTATGAGTGAGAAGTCTTGCCCGAAGTGTAAGTTTTTTATTGAAGCTGTCCTGTGGAACAGGACAGAGGAAGAATTAAGAATCTGGGTATTAAGCCTTACAGAAATCTAAGAATCAAAAGGTCAGATAGAGGCCCAGCATGGTAGCCTAATGCCCAAAGTCCTTGTTGCCTTGCATGCACTGGGATCCCATGTGGGTGCCGGTTCATGTCCTGGCTACTCCGCTTCCCTTCCAGCTCCCTACCTGGTGGCCTGGGAAAGCAGTAGAGGATGGTGCAAGGCTTTGGGACCCTGTACCTGTGTGGGAGACCCAGAAAAAGCTCCTGGCTCCTGGCTTGAGATCAGCTCAGCTCTGGCTGTTGCTTCCTCTTGGGGAGTGAACCAATGGACAGATGATCTTTCTATCTCTCCTTCTCTCTGTAAACCTGACTTTCCAATAAAAATAAAATAAAAATCTTTAAAGAGTATTATTATTTTTTTTATTGGAAAGGCGGATGTACAGAGAGGAGAGACAGAGAGGAAGATCTTCCGTCCGATGATTCACTCCCCAAGTGAGCGCAACGGGTCGATACTATGCCGATCCGAAGCCAGGAGCCTCTTCTGGGTCTCCCACGCGGGTGCAGGTTCCCAAAGCTTTGGGCCGTCCTCGACTGCTTTCCCAGGCCACAGGCAGGGAGCTGGAAGGGAAGCGGGGCTGCCGGGATTAGAACCGGCGCCCATATGGGATCCCGGGCGTGCAAGGTGAGGACCTTTAACCACTTGCACCACCGCGCCGGGCCCAAAATAAAAATCTTTAAAAAAAAAAAAAAAGGTCAGGTAGAGGAAAATGAACACACAAAGGAGATTGAGAAGCTCACAGCAAGAATTGTGACTCGTGGAAAACAAAAACATGGGGAAACAGCAAGACAGCAGAGCAGTGCTTCAGCAGACGCCCCAGCAGCGGTCAGAGCTCCACCCAGTCGGGTGGGAAGGGGAGATCCCCAGGGACTCAGAAGGTGAATCTAGCCATTGAAACTGTAGATCCCACTGGTTTTTTTTTTTTAATCTGATCCCAAGCAGAGCCAAAGTGGTGGAGCCCAGATGGACAGGTGTGCATGCAGGGTGGATTTCAGGACCCACCAGTGCCACATCAGGTGCCATTTTGAGTTTGGTGGCAAAGGCTCATTTGGGAGGAACCTGAGGGTGGGGAGGGAGGCAGACAGCCATGAGCTGTGAATGCACTAAGCCAAGGCAGAACTCACTTCCAGCAAAAAAAAAAAAAAAACAAAAAACAAAAACAAAAAAAAAAAAAACCTACATGGACTTCAAAAATGTTTGCACCAAAAGTAAGCTTAACTTTTACTTCTATGTCCTGTAACTGTTTTGAAGTACCCTCACATAGGTTTATCCACATTATAATATTTAACATTCAGCTAAATGTATAGCAAAGCTAAATGTCAAGATGCTCAATTTCAAGAAAAGACTCAGCGTTAACTTTTGGACTTGCATTTTTCCCCTCCAGGTTGGAAAAGTGGTCCTAAAACCACAACATCAACTCAAACACCAGACTCCTCATTTCAGGTTCCAATCATGAAGAGATCCAAAAGGAATAGACCTCGGGGCTTGAAAGCAGGAAGATCTGACATATGTGAAGACAGGTTAGAGAAGAAACAGGATAAAAAGGAGAATGTTCAGATGGTTTTAGTCACCAACCAAAAAATCCCAACTCTAGAGAAAAGCCATAAAAATATTGAATTTAGCCATAAAGCAAATTTAAAGTCAGTGCATACTCAGCAACAAATGGTTTCCAGAGAAAAGACACCACCAAAATGTGAAATACAAGGCAACACTTTCAAACAGAATGTAAATTTACCCAGTCAACCAAAAATGACGGCGGAGAAGCGTTATAAGTGCAGTATGTGTGAAAAAACTTTCATTAACACTTCATCCCTTCGTAAACATGAGAAAAATCATAGCGGAGAGAAATTATTTAAATGTAAAGAATGTTCTAAAGCCTTTAGCCAAAGTTCAGCTCTTATTCAGCATCAAATAACTCATACTGGAGAGAAGCCCTACGTGTGTAAAGAATGTGGGAAAGCCTTTACTCTTAGTACTTCGCTTTATAAACATCTAAGAACACATTCTGTAGAGAAATCCTATAGATGTAAAGAATGTGGGAAAGCCTTCAGTCGAAGGTCGGGCCTTTTTATACATCAAAAAATCCATGCTGGAGAAAACCCCTGTAAATATAATCCAGGCAGAAAGACATCTGGTTGCAACACACCCTTTCCTGGATGTCCAAAAAGTTATTCCAAGAAGAAGTCTTATCTGTGTAATGAGTGTGGCAACACCTTTAAATCTAGCTCATCCCTGCGTTATCATCAGAGAATTCACACTGGAGAGAAACCTTTTAAATGTAGCGAATGTGGGAGAGCCTTCAGTCAGAGTGCCTCTCTGATCCAACATGAAAGAATCCACACTGGAGAAAAACCCTATAGGTGCAACGAATGTGGGAAAGGCTTCACTTCTATTTCCCGACTCAATAGACACCGATTCATTCATACTGGTGAAAAATTCTATAATTGCAATGAATGTGGGAAAGCCTTAAGTTCTCACTCCACACTTATTATTCATGAGAGAATCCATACCGGAGAGAAACCCTGTAAATGCAAAGTGTGTGGGAAAGCCTTCCGACAGAGCTCAGCGCTCATTCAGCATCAGCGCATGCATACTGGAGAAAGACCCTATAAATGCAACGAGTGTGGGAAAACGTTCAGGTGCAACTCATCCCTTAGTAATCATCAGAGGATCCACACTGGGGAGAAACCCTACCGATGCGAGGAATGTGGCATCTCGTTTGGCCAGAGTTCAGCTCTGATTCAGCATCGACGGATTCATACAGGAGAGAAGCCATTCGAGTGTAACACGTGTGGGAAGACTTTTAGACAGAGCTCCTCACGCATTGCACATCAGAGAATTCATACTGGAGAGAAGCCCTATGAATGTAACACATGTGGGAAACTTTTCAATCACAGGTCATCCCTTACTAACCATTGTAAAATGCACATTGAAGGGGATCCCTAGGAAGTACATTTGCATGTGTGAATGCGTTAAACCAAAGCTTGTCGGAGAATACATGCTTGACAGTGAGGTAAGGAATGTACTGGTGATGAAAAAAAGAAATAGTAATTTACTGTTCTCCAGATATTAAATTAGGTTTGGCAAACTTTGTCTAATAGGAAAAAAATGATATTCATCTTTGGGACACTTTAAACCGATGAGGAATTCATAAGTGCAGATGTTGACTTTGAACATTTGTAAAATAAAGGTGTTTGTTTCACCTCTTTTTAAAAGTTTATTTTTGACTTTTATTAGAAAGTCAGATATATAGAGAGGAGGAGAGACAGAGGAAGATCTTCTGTTCACTGACTCGCTCCCCAAATGGCCACAGTGGCCAGAGCTGAGTCCATCTGAAGCCAGGAGCCTGAAGCTTCTTCCAGGTCTCCCACATAGGAGCAGGGTCCCAAGGCTTTGGGCCATCCTTGACTGCCTCCCAGGCCACAAGCAGGGAGCTGGATGGGAAGTGGGGCAGCCGGGACATGAACTGATGCACATATGGGATCTTGGTGCATGCAAGAAAAGGACTTTAGCCACTAGGCTACCGTGTTGGGCCTTGTTTCACCTCTCTCTACTGCAAATACACTATATAGTCTTTGTGACTATTAAGTTCTGAGTGGGTGAGGAGGTGTGCACTGAATTTCTCACTAAAAAAATCCCAAACAGCATATACCAGTAATGTTTTTATAGCATTTAATAGCATACAAAGCAATCAATCATAAATTACATTTTTAGATAAAAGGATTAAAATAATGATAAAATGATTTGTAAACTACCTCTTTGTCCTCTGGGGTTTGTCCTTTACCAGACCTTATATCAAATTGTGCATGGTTTTCATTAAAAAGATGATTAAATGAAAGTATGCTGTGATTTATGATTATCAGCCCAGAAACAAACCTACCCCTCTCTAGTGCCTTGATTTTCTTGATCCAGGTGCAAAGGAAAATCTCTTCAGGGAATGTTGCCGGAACAACTAGGTACTGACAGACAAGTGACCCTGGGCCAACATCCCATCCCATGCAAAATTAACTCCAAATTAATCAAAACCTGAATGTCAGTGCTAAAAGTAACTTGCTTGACCTTGAATTGGTCATACTTCCTAAATCTGACACAAATCATTATTAACGAAAAATACTAAGTTAGACTTTATAAGCTGAAATATATTGAAAACTTTCAAACTGGGGCCAGCATTGTGGTGCAGTGGGTCAAGCTGCTGCCTATGGCACCAGCATTCCATGTCGGAGCACTGGTTTGAGGCCTAGCTTCTCTGCTTCCAATCCAGCTCCCTGCTAATATGCTTGGAAAGGCAATGGAGGATGGCCCAAGTCCTTGGACGCCCCCCGGCAGCCACAAAGGTGACTAGCATAGCGTTCCAGGTTCCTGGCTTCAGCCTCGCCCAGCCCCAACTGTGGTAGTCATGTGAGAAATGACCCGGCAGATGGAAAGTTTCTGTCACTCTGTCTTTCAAATAAGATAAATCTTAGCCCAAGTTGACTGTGCCTCTTAAGCGCACATATTTGAGAGTTTGTGACACACATGCTGTTGTATGTTTTCTCAGAGGGAGCGTTGTTCCCTTTCTAATCTCGGTCAGCTTTTCAACTTGAAGCTACATTTCCACAAAGGACACAGACAGGTAAAGGTCCATTAGTAAGTTAGCTGATACTCAGAGGCAAAGAAGTGCAATCCAAACCCCACAGCCCGTACTCGCTTCGGCAGCACATATACTAAAATTGGAACGATACAGAGAAGATTAGCATGGTCCCTGTGCAAGGATGACATGCAAATTCATGAAGCGTTCCATACCATATAAAAAAAAAAAAACCAAAACTCACAGCTCTTTCCACAATGTGTTTTCTTTATCTGAAGCAGTCAGCAATTAAAATAAAGCACTTTTCTAAATCTTCCAGAAAGTTCACTTTTTTGGAGTAAGCCCAGACAAGCAGAATGGAAGCCAAAAATGGGCTGTTTTTGCAGTCATTCAAGTGATGGAAAGCAGAAACTGTCAATGGAAAGTGTTATGTGAATGCTCTCATTCAAAACAACACAAAACTAAAACTTCAAAGGAAATATACAAAATCCAGTAACTGTATGAAAAGATGATTAATATCTAATCATAAGAGAAATACGAACCAAACCACAGTAAGATATTGTGTAATATCCATCAGTGTGGTTATTAAAAACAAAAAGGGTGGGCATTTAGCCCAGCAGTTAAGGCACTGGTTGGTTTGGGTTATCTGCCTCCCCCGTCAGTATCTGAGTTCTGTTCCTAGCTTTAGCTCTTGGCTCCAGCTTCCTGCTAAGGCAGACCCTGGGAAACAGCTGTGATGGGCTCCGGTAGCTGGTTCCTGCCACCCATGTGGGAGGCCTGGATGCTGTTCATAGGTCTCTGCTTCAGCCCGGTCCTGTCTTGATCACTGCGAATCTCAGAGTGTGAAGCAGCAGATAACCCTTGGTCACTCACTCTCCTTTTTCCGCTCCTCTGTACATCAATTTCTCCCTCTGTGTGTCCGTCTTCCACCAAATAGAAATTTCTCAAAATTTGAAAACATTGCAGCAACTAAGCTATTTGCAACACTGGTGTTTAAAATGTGTAGAAGGGCCCGGCACGGTGGCGCAGTGGTTAAGGTCCTCTCCTTGCACGCCCCGGGATCCCATACGGTTCTAATCCCGGCAGCCCCGCTTCCCATCCAGCTCCCTGCTTGTGGCCCGGGAAGGCAGTCGAGGACGGCCCAAAGCTTTGGGACCCTGCACCCATGTGGGAGACCCGGAAGAGGCTCCTGGCTTCGGACCAGCATAGCATCAGCCGTTGTGCTCACTTGGGGAGTGAATCATCGGACAAAGGATCTTCCTCTCTGTCTCTCCTCTCTGTATATCCACCTTTCCAATAAAAAATAAAATAATTCTTTTTAAAAAAAGAAAATGTGTAGAAATTGGAACCTTTGGACATTGCTGATTGGAATTCTCTATAAAATGGTACAGCTTATGTGGGAGACAATATGATTGTTCCTTGATGAGTTATATGCAATATCATCTTATGATCCGACAGTTTACTCCAGATAACTTAAAACATCTGTCCACATGAAAACTACACACAAACACTTACAACAGTACTATCCACATACCCAAGAGACAGACACAACCTAACCAGATATTACCCAGTAGTCAGGTGCTGAGAAGCACTACACCCTGGAAGAACCTTGGAATCAACATGCCAAGGGAAAGAAACCAGACCCAACATCTTACCTGTTTCAGTTTCTGTGGCACGCCCAGAATAGACAAATCCACCAAAGTAGATGTAGCTTAGTAGCTGCCAGAGTGTGTAGGAACAGGGCATGGCTGCATCCGCATGGTACACGACTTCCATTTGGGAAGGCTTGAAACTGCTGGAGCTAAGTGGTGGTAATGGCTGTGTTATACACATCTCCATCATCATCCCAGATTCTTGCCGTCACAGAATTCAAGAGTGTGATTTATATAGACACTGGACATACTCACATATGAGTGTGGACTTCCCAACACAAAGAAAAACCCATCAAGAGTGGGCAAGAGAATTGCCTATTAGGAAAGAGAGGGAGAGAATGCCCAAGTTGGATACCCAAGAGTGATCAAAAACAAAAGAGCCCCTCCTGTTTTATGAAATGGGAGGTGGGGACTGGTGGAGTTCAGAGAGTATGAAGCTTTTTGAGGTTTTCATGTCATCCCCACACAGAGGTTTGCTTCCACATGCCCGTCATGATGTCTCCTCCTACCCGATCCCAGAAGAGACACATCTGAGAAGATGAGCACATGAGATGGACAGCTAAGGGGATCGTTACAATGCAGAGCTGGCAGAAATTCCAGCTCACCTATTTCTGTCTAACTTCCTGCCTACATTAGCCACCAATCCATATGGTCACTTACAATTTTAACTTAAGAATTAAGCTCTTTAGTTGCACTAGTAACAGTACAAATGCTCAATAAGCGTAGGTCATCGTGGACAGAACAAGAAGAAATATTTTCTGGAAAGCACTTGTCTAAATCAGAAGGCTCTGAAACAATAAAGCCCTCATGGAGCAGCTATCACAGAGCAGGCAGCACTTCACACGCCTACGACTCATGCTGCAGTTGTAACTCCAGTACATCGTCTACAAAATCACCATGTGATCCGTCTATTGCAGAAACCAACTACCATAAAAAACTAAAACTTGGAATGTAATGAGATGACCTTCATTTCAGGATGATAGAAGGTCTTGTGAGGACTTAAGCTGTGACCTTGTAATGTATGGAGATGTTTCGGGAAATGTAGGTAACTTTGGTACAATTTAGTGAGGAAAATATGAGAAACATGAATGCTGGATTGGGGGTGGGTTCAGGCTGAGCTAAGCCACAGCATCCACTGTGTGCAAAAGACTCAGGGAGCATATGGGCTCTGCCTGGCTAGGCTCCAGCAGAGCTGGTACATGCAAATGCCAGGACTGAGAGCAGGCCTTGTGGGGGTTATTGGGGATCACCCTGACTAGACCACAGAACCCACTGGTGTGCATGAGGACCCAGTCTGTGGCAGGTTGGCTGGGCTCAGCTGCAGCACCTGGCATACCTGTGGGAGGTTTGGGGCTGAGGCAGAACTGGCCAAGCTGCATCCACAGGGAATTGCACTGGCTGGTGCAGGTGACAAACCAAACCTGACCCTACGCTGGCTGCAACACACAAGAGTTAAGTCTGAGGTCACCCCAGTTGAAGTGGGCTCCCCAACTAAACCACTGGACTCACACCTTGGCCACAGGGAAAACACACATGTGTGGTCCAACCTTGGAGTGCATGTGTCGGGACTGGGGCTCCTCAGGTTCTGATGTCTGTGCAGGAGACAGCATGTTCAGAAGCACACGAGGACAGGATGGCCAGCTCATCTAGGTCATCAGGGGTTGTCAACTGCCTTACAGAGGATGGAGAGCTTTGATTCATTCTCTTGTGTCTGTGGACACGCTAGGGTGGACTTTGTCAGCCAACAGGCTTTGGAAAGATTCTCTCAGTCCTGGACCAAGACTAATAAGTGTTCGGGCTGTCAAAGCTACTCC